GCTCTAAAGAATTCAATCTCAGTGAGGAATTAAACACTTAAAATTACACAAAATAATGTCATCGAATGATTAGCGATATTTGCTTTGTAAAATTTACAGTAATTTTGAACGAAAATCGAAGAGCTTGCCTTCACAAGTGGATCGATTAAGATTTCAGTAAATTATAAAAATAATTTAATTCACCAATTAATTAAATTTCTGCCAATTCGCATTTCTTCGTGTCGGAGATCTCGTTAAATTGTTCTATTTTATTTAATGTTAGACTTTAGAATGGGGATTCACAAGCGGCAGCAATTCTTGAACCTTTATATAATTTCAAACAATTCAGAATTCATTTCAAATGCTTAAATCTGGGATTCCGGAGGGATATCAGAAATTACATAGTGATAACAATCTTCGGGAATTTTAACATCCTCAAAAATGGACTACTTTTATCATGTATCAAACGAGAATGGAATAAACAAAATCTGAAAAACACGAGAATGGAATAAACAAAATTTGAAAATCATTGGAAGGACTTTTTATGCCACAAAAAAGTACATCATATAATTCATTAAACAGTATAATAATTAAGGGGGAGGTAAATAGTTTTTTTTTTTTTTTCATTTCCAATGTCTTATTGTTTGAACCATCCTATCATATTTCATATTTTTTGGAACAAAATCTTCCTGACTGAAGTACACTATCAATGGAAGTTTTGATGATAGCATTTTGAGTCTTGACTGACAAGATCCCTTTGCCTAACGCAAAATCATTGATCTGAAATGCAGCACTAATACCATTAAAGTAATTTAGAATACCTTTTTCGAAGTGAAACCTTTTGGAAAAAAATACTGGTAAATTCAAGGGACAAAATGACTAGTTGTACGATTCTGTCACCAATACTTGCTTAAAATTAAAGTTTCCCTTTCTCTTAAGTCAGTGAATCCATTATCAGTTTCAAGTATTATTGTCTGATGAATACAACTGAGATGTAGCTCAGTATCATTGCTTTGGACATTCAAAGTGCTAAAGTACTAGAACGTTTCCTTTCCTTGTATTTAAAGTAAAAACAGAGTATATTTATCGGATCAATTAACATTACAAGAAATTTATATAAATCCCTCAAGTGATTCAATGTTACAAACTGATTAAATTCGAAACAAACAATATTATCACCTGCAGTTTTGGCAGATACGGTTTCAGTTCAATAAGATAATTGTAGATCACTGTAGATAATAATTTGATTACGCCACAATCAGCAGAACTGCATACTTTATCCCATAAACTGAAAAAGTTACCAATAATTCAATTGCATAGTTATAAGTCACAAACATCACTAAAAACATTTAACATTTTTTAACATAATGTACTTTAACAAGGGTTCATGATCAAACACAACTGCTCCACCACATCGTATCCAAAAATTCATTGGCATATTTTCCCAAATGTGTTCATCAACATTCCCCATTTCTGCATAAGCCTTGACAAGTTGGTTTTTTAGGTTATCGACAACCTGAATAATTTAATTTTTTTTAAGTGATTAATGTTCCTTAGTCACACCACTGATTTCTTTTAGTAAGAGGTAAATAAGTTTCATTCATGGCTCGATGCTAAAGTTAACCAGCTGATACCCCTGTCGGAATGGCTTATGTCATTTTTGTGTTCGTTATATCATTCAAAGTTAAAAACTAAGCGCGCCTATGTAATATTACATTGTCAGTAGTGCAGGAGAGTAGACAAATCGATATAGCAATAAGACCGCGATTTTATAATTTCAGCAGCCGCTTAAAAGCAAAATTAACTAACCTCTGTGAGGATTTTTTGAGTAAATATATGAGATAACAATTCGTCGAAGACCTTTGTCAGCCAGTAAATGTCGACCCAATTTGATTCACAAATCATTGACATTTGTTTGGCTATCTATAATTAAGTTTTTATTTATAATTTCTTCTAGGAACAATATGAACAAGTCCGGACTTTATTATAAACTTTTTAAGCAAAGAAGTGAAGAAAAAAATCAACAAAATAAGAAATAGTTTTCAGTAAGAAAATATCATCTTCGAATCAAAGGCAATTATAATTTCAATTCAAAAAGATTCACCGCTAACTGTGCCTGAAAATCCATTTCCATGGCATGGTGACTGCTGTGCGTTATGGTAGTCTCATTTCCGAGTTGAATCATTCGCACAATATCAACAGCTGTTGGATGATACTCCACATCCAATTCTTTACCATTATCTGACCTTTCAGTATTTAATCTCATCGTGCGAAGTGATGACAATAAGACTTCTGCCTAAAATAGCAAGATTCAAAATGATTAATGAACAGAAAACTGCATTCCAGAAAATTACTAAACTAAGGAGTATGACAAAAGCCAATCCGATTTTTTGGTTCCTGCAGGAAGGGAATAAAAAGATATACTATTCTGAAAATCCAATAAGAGGGCATTTGAATTAATTAAAGAAAAACACAAATCTACATCGTTGTAATTTTATCGTTTCAAAAAAAAAAAAAAGTTGGAAAACAATTTCCATTAGACGCATTCATCTTAGATAAACTATCACTTGAATAAAACCATATGAAAAGCACTGAAATGTAAGGGAAGAAAAACCGAAAAAAAGACTTCCCAGTGCAACGATAGTAATTTTATTAACCAGAAAGAGAGAGAAGATCCGATAAATAACCCATAATTACCTCGAAATTAATTAGAACTAAGAAGATCCTAATAGTTGTAAATTAATAAGTATTGCGAAATGATCCGACAATTTCAGTCAGTAGGCAGAAGATGATACTTGAAACCAAAATGGAGAAATTTGAGCTAACTTCTTGCATTCGATGTTCCGTGATGTCTTTTCTCACTTCCGGTGCAGTTGACGACACTCCTAAACAAATTTTAGAGATAATTTATTGACTTCAAAAGATATGTCATTTGGGGCACTCGATTTCAAATGTTCATCGAGATCAACGGTATGCATTAGTATTTTAAGTAAAGTATCTGCCAATGATACTGCTGTGATTACACATGGAAAACAAACGTTTTTAGACGGATATCGAGAAACAGGTAGCGTACCAATCATCACACATTCTGTTGTGTATATTCCCCCTAATTGCTGCTGTAAGCCGAGCTTTGTGGGAGGTAGAATTAAAAAAATATATAAAAAATGGTACTAAACTGAAATAATCACCAATATTTTGTGCAAGTAAATAAAACAGAGAAGTTTGAAGTCAACAAAATTTTTAGCAAAAAAGTTTCAAACAAATACGAACTCAGCAACAATTTCCAAATTGGTACACGGTGAATTTTGGGCACATAATGTTTGAAGGCGAACTGTGCTAACTTTGTCAGGTCAACGTCAGAATCTTCGCGTAGGATTTGTTCTTCAATCTGGAATCGACTGCATTCCGCTTTGTCTCCAACCATGCGGCCAACAAAGTTGGTACGGAAATTATTTGACCGATCCATATTACCAATTCCTGAAATGTGTTTCGACAATGTGGAAATTTGCCAATTATAAAAAATTTTAAACTCAACCAAACGTGACATTACTGATGAATAAAACCAGTTGTTCGAACATTTTAAGATTTGGAACGTGCAGTATATATAAAGCTGACGGTATAAATAGCAGTTAATGAAACTGAAGCCATGTCTTGATATCTGTGCCGAAATGAAGTACTTCACGAAATAACGAATAGCCTCAAACAAATTTCGAAGACTCGTGATTCTTCAAAGCTACCCGTGTCAATCTCCAAGTGTGCAGCAAGACGAACGGAAACCATGCATAAAAACATTTCTCTCCGAAGCTCTAAATCAAGCTTCCTTATCCTGATCGCAAAACTACCAACTTCCCCATACCATCCAGTCCTTCATATTTTTAGTTATCTGCATCCATCTGAACTGATGTTGCACAGCAAAGCAACACTTCGTTTTTGTTCATATAAGGCGTTACACCACAGATTTCCTCCACTTTTTCGGATCTGTTTCATCAGCGTATGATACGCACTACCGAAGAATATTTAATCGATAAAAACCGACCAATCTCACATATCCTCACCTCCCAGATAGATATCTCCGTTATGAATAATATTAAAGGAAAAAACACGATATATTTAACATTTCGATACATAGGACACAAATGCACGAATATCAAAATTACAAGCATATGAAAAATACACATAACTTATATAAACTTATGACTGGTCTTCTGAATTTGTCTCGTAATTTTACTATCATATATTTTCTCAACTAATTTGACAAATTCCACCGCCGTATTTGGGTAAACTTTTAGAAAGTGAATTGATGGCGACAGAGTATTCAATACAGTGCTAGTAATTATTCTGCGGAAATTTCTCAAAATCACAAACTATAAATGTAGCAAATATGTAATGGTTCACAATTGTGTTGCGATACTCAAGTAAATAAACGAATAAAAAAAGAAAAACACATCGATTCAAATCAAGAAAAAAAAAGAACAATAAAGCAAACCTCATATACATTTCTGTTGCTGATCTCTTAGAGACATATATATTGGTTCTAACGATTTCATAAAAATTGTATATCACTCGTAATGTATGCTGAGATACACGTTCAATTACAATCTTTTCAAATTTTTGGGTATAAAGGAAACAAGAATCGAACAATCGAAGCACTGTGACGGTCTCTTGGAATCAACCCGAGTATTTTTTTCAATTTACACAAATGACCCAATTTACATGCAGAAACTGCAAATTCTCTAAATATAATATACCACTTGATAAACGGAGAGTATGACAAATTCCTTTCAAAAAAGTGACCGCATGTATCTTTAGAGAATCGGAAATAGTGGATGTAAACCACAATTGCACAAAGCGTGTGATGTACATCGTCATCTTCTGAACTTGCTATATGTAGGTGAAAGCTCTACATGCACTGCTTGAAGTATGGAGTACTAATGTCTATACCCAAATGAATCAATGTACAAAAAACCAAGTTGGAAGCAATAAACCGCTAGCAAATGTAAACCACGAAAAGAGCAGACTGCGCTAAATTCAGGCATCCAAAACGACACCATAATTTTAAGAAAATGGAGAAATATTAAGCAGAGGACGAGGCACCACCACTGTTTGATCGTGTTGCGCCAGAAGCAGAAGGCATTTGTGGGTCATCGTGATCATGATCCATTTCCTCATCGCTCTCCTCTTTCGCCTCCATTTCTCCCTCATTTTCACCAAAATTAAGCCATGACTGAACAGTTCAAATTATCAACATAAGCAATTATTATATCGTCCTGATGGGCTAAATTCAAATTCAGCAATATCCTCAGACGAATACTTCTCGCAATTAACTGCAATCAAAAAATGCGATAGATATATGCGAAATTTGTTAAACTAGAGCTATAAAAAATAATTCCTTAACCTTAAAAAAAAAAATAACAGAACCTGTTCAACAATTTGTTGCACTCTTTTCTCGTACTCCCGCCTGTTTTCTTGATAAAGCTGAGCAGCAAGTGAATTAGCAGGACTATTTGGATTTGGTTCATCTAACAGCGATTGGATGGAAGTAAGGATAGCGGCAACATCGTAAGTTGGAGACCATCTATTCTGCAAAAGGAAGCATAGCAGAACACTGCAACCATATGATATATAGATTGTCAAAAATGATACGATGTAAATAAAACAAGACAGAGGAGAATTTCTATTCTTTATTCACCAAAATTCAGTATCTCGTCATTAGCTGAGTCCTTTTCTCCACACCATTTACCTTTTCCTCCTCACAACCCTCATCCCAGTCTATAAAAGCTATGTAAGGAATACCTGTAAAATATCGAGGCAGATGCTACCATCAGCATAAACATTTGGGTGGAACATTTTCGAGACAAATTTCACCGTAGGAGGTTTGTTAGGATACTCCTCGGTGAATTCAAGGGTCAACTTGAATGTTCCATCCTCAAATGGTGTATCCTGCGGACCAAAAATAATCGCCTCCCACATTAAAATATTATCCTCCGTTGGAGCACCACTGACACCAGCAGGTGGATCCTACCTTAAAAAAAAAAAAAAAAAGTCATTTACGGAAAATTTAGACATTATCAAGTCAGATTAGCAGAAGTAATACGGATAAATAAAAGACATACTTGCAGCTTCTTGAAATCCCGCATTAGACGTCTCCGCGATGGTGTCGTCATAGTTTACTCGCGCAATCGCTGCAACAACGCTATTGTAATTCAACAATTCATACTATCAGTTATTGAAAGAACATTACAACGATATGCACTTTTTTTGAGATGCTGAAAGAACACTACAACGATATGCACTTTTTTTTTTTCAAGAAAACACGGAAAGCAAAATGATGTTATATTGATCAGTGGAAATATTAATGCAATAGTGAACAGGTTCCGGGCTTAATCGATCAAACTTGAAAAAATATACTTCATGAAACTACTGAGTCATGGAGAAAAACGTGAACGTAGAATGAAATGACTAAGCAGAATGACAAGCATAAAAAGTGGAGAGCAGATGGATGATATATAAAAATGCAAAGGTGCAAAGAAAAAGAACGACAAGAATTTCGAATGATACACGTGCACAGAAAACCCAAGCAACACTGATAATTTATAGCTCATTATACTGATATATGCCAGTGAATGATCCTCAACTTGAAAATATATATTTCTGTATTCATATATATAATGTATATATACGCATACACATATATGTATAAAAACACAAATGTAAATAAAAATACACATACGCATATACACATATTACGCGCCACATGAACACATACACGGAATACAATTAAATGTTTCGCAAAAACTATGCGAAACGAAAACTGGATAAAATTTACAGTCATGTTCGAACTTATGAATAACTCGAAAATATCTCTTTAATGATAACATTCATAGAGCCACGTTTCCATTCTGACGTTCTGCCTAGCTAAATAAAAATCCATTCGGATAAGGCCTCACTGGATACCTATGTACCACAAAATAATCATAAATTAAGAAAAATGAAATGGTGATAAAATAACTGCTTCTCATGATTTATATGCTGGCCGATGTTCAAATACTTAAAGACTCCCGTGATATCTTAGCAGAAAATTTAAAAAAATGAACACGCTTTCGCTCATCAGAACAAAATCATACGGGAAACAAAATATAAAACAGAACAAAATCATACTTGTTGTAAAAAGCAGAGCCATTCTGTTTAATTCACAATTAACAATTAACAAAAGATGAAATCCTAAACTATTTCTCAATCAATCGGAATTTAAAACTGATTGATATTTTCTCAGTATCACTAACAGCTCTACTGTGCTAAAACAACAAAATGAACAGATTGCTGATCGATGTACCATTGCTAGCCTATTCAGTTAATTACTAATAATCGGTGTAATGTGTTCCTTAAATGCAATATGTTTCTCAAATGGAACTTCCAAATAGTGGTATAACAACATATCTAATAACGATCGCAATAGAGAATAAATGGAAAAAAAATAAATGAACCAACCATCAAACCATTCGGCTCAATCCATTGATCAGTGATAAAATCGGTTTAAAGAGAAAGTAACGCCTTATGTTTCCTTTTTTATACACATTTTGAAGATGCATTTTAACAGTTTACGAATACAGCAACTACTCGATGTCAAAAAATCTCGCATCGATGACGAAGAGCTGAGGTGCAAGCAGGCAAGATAATATCTCCGCCAAAGTTCAGCAAAAGCTAAACAACAGGCAGAAACACCACCTGACGTACCACACCACTTCCAGCAGGAGAAAAAAACAAAACGTACAAATGATAACATCAGAAGTGCGGCCGTGCGGCCGCGGCCGGTGAGCTCTGAGGAACGGCCTGGTTTTCATATGGTAACGTGGGTTTGGAGTGTTTACGTGTGTAATAGGACGTATTATTTGGTTGTATTGTCATGACGAACGCGTGATAGTTCTCTTCCAGTTGGTTACATCCGGAAGATTTTGCTTTGCATGCTCTATATTATGATTATCGATTATGATCAATTGGTTATAGCCGATCGATATTCATGACATAAAGCATGCATTTTAGCGTTTTGTCTCGATTTGGTTTTCTACATCAGCGCTTTCGTAAGTCTAATTTCGTATATCTCGAAATGTTGTTTAGTCACTACCAAACAATATGATGAATAGATCTGACATAGATGTTTGCAAAGCCATATATTTGCCTGGAATTGCTTAAAGTAGTATGTTTTGTTACTTTCCCGGTTTTAACTGATGCTGGAAAACGGTGTTTTTTAGATTGTTCAGCAAGACTCTTTATATACATTATTAGTATTCTTTATTTTCACCTATCATTGATAGACTGTTGTATTTTCAAGTGTAAAATAATGCCATTTCGTGGCTATTAAACAAGCACGTTCTTTTTACGTTTTTTTTACTGACCCACCTGCGAATTCACGTTTTCTTCCCCATATATTCAGGAATAGCTTTCGACATGCAGAAGAATGTGCTGATTTAGATATGTTCTGCGAAGACGAAGAAATTACCTCCTAACTGTATCCATTAATCTGTAGTTTCTAAATTTTCTTCTAAGCAGGAAACAACTTTTGGTCGCGATTACTGTAATTTAATGAGAGTTCCCTCTCCCTTTGACAAGTTCTTTTTTGGTATATGTTTATATATAAATATATATATACATGGTTCATCTTGAGTTGATTTTAAGACATGTAGTTTACTAGCAATGCGATACTTTTTTTGGCTTCCCTCAAAAACAGTCATTGTGTTGTCAGTTCGAAAATATTAAGTCACATGATCTGACCACCTGCGAAGCATGCTATTGCGACGTATAGTGCAGTTACTTTTTTTTGTTCCGATTTTCACAGATGGTATAAAACGAAGCTGTTTTTTCTTTTCTTTTCATTTGTCGTAATCACTGTGGCGAGGCGGTCGAGCTGGTGGTGTTAGAATAAAGAAACAATGATGAGACGAATAAGTTTTTTGGAAAGCAGGACATCACTTAAGTTATTAGGACGTTTGAAATGCTCCCGTTTTACACTATCTAGGAGCAACCTAATGGGAAAACGGTGCATTTTTGGACTACGTCACAAATTGACTGCTTCATCTGTCAAAGTAAGTATCCTCTTTGACAGTTAATTTTTGATTTAAGAATTTCCTTTTCTGCACTGCTAGTAATTTGTATATCTTTTTTGACTGCTTCATTAAAAGGTTCACTGAACGATCTGAATTATTGTTTAATGACGAATGATGTACTTTTTGGATTTATCTAAGTGTGATCCCAGTGCACCGGGTGATTTTATTCATAGCACTCAGTTAAGTAAAAGTATTATAAACCTATTGTGACAAGTGAGAGACTTGTGAGATCATTAGAAAAATTGATACTATATATGAGTTATAAAAAACACGAACCGATTAGTTCTATGTGCAGGAGGAGCCATTTATGAACGGTACTTCAACGGTTTATATCGAACAGATGTATGAAGCATGGCGACAAAGTCCAGCATCGGTTCATTCTTCATGGAATGCTTATTTCCAGAACGTTGAGCGAAGTAAGCGTACTTATCCTACAGACTATATAGTATAGAAGTATTTTTCTTTTTATGCATCGTCGTGACTAGTTTTATATTAACTCATTTTAGGCTTGCCACCTGGACAAGCATATTCTGCGCCTCCGAAAGGACTAGCCGCTTATTCTGTTTCATCTGCCGTAGCACCTACACCAGAATTTGAAAGCACACTAACTGGATCAGGGCAGACTTTAAATGAACATCTGAAAGTTCAGCTATTAATTAGAAGTTACCAGGTGATTTTAGACGTAACCTTCATTATTTTTGCATTTCGGTTTGCTTCTTTCAAAAACTTTATCAATTTCAGACTCGTGGACACAACATAGCTGATTTGGATCCACTGGGAATCAATAATGTGGGATTGACTGATGTTACACCTGCAGAATTAGATCCGGCATTTTATGGACTCACGGATGCTGATATGGACAAAGAATTTCTTTTGCCAATGTCAACATTTATTGGTGGGGATAAGAAGTCACTGAAACTAAAGGATATAATCAGTCGTCTGAAGGTATTTTCCACTCTTAATTTCTGTTTAAAAAAAGCAACCAACGTCAGTTGTTTGAAACATTTGGTATTTCTCCATGGTTTAAATTGGTATGCTTCAGACCATTTACTGTTCGCATACTGGAATTGAATACATGCATCTGACTAATTTCGAGCAGTTGGAATGGGTTCGTAAAAGATTCGAAGAGCCTTGTGCATCAGAGCTTACGCATGAGCAAAAAAAAACATTATTCAAGCGATTAATTCGATCGACAAAATTTGAAGAATTTCTGGCTAAAAAGGTACTCAAGTGACATCTTTTGTGAATCATTTTCGTTTAGACTCATTGCTATACGCGCATTCATGTCCGCAGATTTACCAGAACCTTGTATATTTGAGCAGGAATAAGAACGATACGTTATCTACAGCACACCATTTTACCCAAGTAAATGTCAATATTTAATGGTTGGGATGAGAAATCGCCAAAATTAAAGGATGTAATCAGTTCGTTGAAGGCATTTTTTAGTTTTTTCCAGTCTGAAATGACAATCGGTATCAATTATTGTTCGAAACATTTGTCCTTTCTCTGTAGTTTCAGTGAGACTTTATGCTGCATGTCTGCTGTAAAACCATCTTCTAAATTAATGCATCAGATTATAGTGGCCAAGCGAAAAGCGGTTTGGTCTTGAAGGTTGCGAGGTTCTAATACCAGCTGCCAAACAAGTAATCGATGTATCCAGTGCGGCTGGTGTTGATTCTGTTGTGATTGGAATGCCTCACCGGTATCAGTTTTTGGAACTTTGATCAAACTAAGATGTCTACTTTAGAATCATTTCCGAGAAGGAGAAATGTTCTCATGTAAATATGTAAATTCATCCATAAGAAGACAGTTTTTAGAGGACGATTGAATATGTTAGCAAATGTTTGTCGCCAACCTTTGCCAGTAATTCTTTCCCAATTTTCTACGCTGGAACCGGCTGATGAAGGATCGGGTGATGTAAAATACCATCTTGGTATTTCCTTGGAGCGATTCAATCGAGTTTCTGGAAGGAAAATTAAAATTGCTGTTGTTGCGAATCCATCTCATCTTGAAGGTTAATTTATGACCTTTCCTCGGAGGGAATGAAGCGAGAGTGAGTTGTAATTTTACCCGGCCACTTTATTCCGAAAAATCTGATGGGTACATACTCTTACTGTTTGAGAATGTCAATGATTCAACAACAAAAAAGGCCGAAAATCAGGTAATCTTTACAATTCTTGGCGTCTACCCGTGCGCATGTATTATGTAAAAATCAATTGGTCTTTGATTAGCTTTTATGGGAAGATTCCAGTGATTTCACTTTAAATGTTTTTACTGATTGGTGCTTTCATTTTCATTTTTACAGCTGTTAATCCCGTAGTTTTGGGAAAGGTACGAGCGGAGTCATTTTACAATGGTGATGAAAACGGTGATCGTACGATGGCAATTTTATTGCATGGTGATGCAGCATTTTCTGGACAAGGTGTTGTTATGGAAACATTTAATCTTAACGATTTAAAAGCTTATACCACTCATGGAACTATCCATCTTGTCGTTAATAACCAGGTAAGCAACGTATTATATTCACTTCGAACTTTGTCGAATTACCATATTTCCTCTAAATAATCACGTGTAAAAGTGTAAAAATTCTTCGAAAACCGTATTTGGAAATTCGAAAACTTTAATTCACCACCAAAAATTACTTTGGAATGCACATATGAGGTCTTAGGATTAGTGATTTAGATTGGCTTTACAACCGATCCACGATGTTCTCGATCGTCTCCCTATTGTACGGATATTGGGCGTGTTGTTGGATGTCCAATATTCCACGTGAATAGTGATGACCCAGAAGCAGTGATGCATGTCTGTAATGTAGCTGCTGATTGGCGTCGTACTTTCAAAAAGGTTGGTTGAACTGTGTATAAGCATGCACTTTTTCACTGTATACTCAGGGCAGATTTCCTGTATTCCAATTTTAGGATGTTATCATTGATCTGGTATGTTATCGACGATACGGACATAACGAACTTGATGAGCCTATGTTTACCCAACCACTGATGTATCAGCGCATTAGAAAGACAAAACCAGTGCTTTCAATTTACCAAAAGCAAATTCTAGCTGAAAATGTTGCCAGTGAGCAATATGTAGAGGTATGATTTGTAATACTTGTCGCATAATCAATCTGTTTAATCATATAGTTATTCAGTGCAGCGCAACGGGAAGTCGGACGCTACTGTATGTAGATATCCTGAGAGAAGTTTACAACGTTAGTCGTTAAATAGTGTGTTACTCCATTTAAGGTGTATAGACCAGTAGTTTTAAACCTTTATTTTTGTAGGATGAAGTAACCAAATACAATACTTTACTGGAAGGTGCTTACCAAGAGGCACAAAAAATGACGTATCTTCGTCACAGGGATTGGCTTGATTCTCCATGGAATACTTTCTTCAAAAAGCGTGACCCACTCAAAATACCAGCAACTGGTATTGCAAAAGAGACGATTACTCATATCGTTGAGAAGTTTTCATCTGTTCCAGCAGGTCCCTTCTTTGTTTTTGCAACTCTGAAAAATAGGAACTTTCAGACAGACGAGGTAAGTGTCCTTACATTCAATGTATTTATTAAAGGTTGGAAGGGAGGTAGGATGCTTCGAAATTAGGGCTTACATGATTTCGGTTCTTGATTAAAAATACTATCTCCTGCTTCTGAGACATTATGTTGGGAAATCATGCATTGTGCTTGCGTGCTTAGTAAGACTTTATATTATTCTCAAAACCAAACCATTTTTTAACAAAAATTTTCAATCTATCGAAAATGCAGATTTTAATCTTCATCGGGGTCTGGAGAGAATAATGAAAGGACGACGTCAAATGTTTCAAGACAACAGTTTTGACTGGGCAATGGGAGAAGCTGTTGCTTTTGGTTCTCTCCTTCTCGTAAGGTTTTTTTTTTGCTGGTGGAATACTGCAAGATTTGTGTCACTGACTTTAATCTTTCGAAAATTTCAGGTATTCATGTGCGCTTGTCAGGACAAGATGTGGAAAGGGGAACATTTTCACACCGGCATCATGTGTTACATGATCAGAAAATCGATCAAAAACGTATAATCCACTGGAAAATCTCTCTGATAAAGTGCTTCCGTTTTTTTGTTTGTAATTGTTATTGCTGATATGAAAACAGCTTCAAGGTTCCGTCGTTAAAAAGCAGTTATCACTTGTGACTTATGCTCCTTTCATTTTGCTTAGGTTAACTTTGCGGCGACTAAAAAAAAAAAAAAAATTTGTTGCTAGCATTAAACTTCTGTTACTAACAATTGTTGGGTTAAACGTCAGCACCAGGCGAGTGTAGCTCATGTAGATCAAAGGATTGCTTGAACCATTTTGAACTTTATAACTTTTAGCTTCCAACTAAGACTCTGTTCATTCCAGCAAGCTGAATATAGTATTTCTAACTCATCACTTTCGGAATTTGCAATCCTCGGTTTTGAACTCGGTTATTCAGTGGTGGATCCGAATTCGTTAGTTATATGGGAAGCACAATTTGGGGATTTTGCAAACAATGCTCAGTGTATTATTGATCAGTTCTTGTCTTCAGGTTTCATCCATTTATTTCCTCTGAAGTATGAAATACTAGACTTACAAATCGATAGTTTTTGTTTTAATGTATATTTTTCGTTACTGTTTATTTAAAGGTCAGTCAAAGTGGATTCGGCAATCGGGATTGGTGATGTCACTGCCACATGGATACGAAGGAATGGGTCCTGAACATAGTAGTGCACGTTTGGAACGCTTTTTGCAAATGTGTAATGAAGATGACGGAATCGATGTTGAGGTATACTTTCAGCATAAGAAATATCATAAAGTGTTTCTGGCAGGAGAGGTGTTGAAAAAAAATAAACAGAATAGTCTTTCATAATCTTGGTTTCAGCATACCGCCTTCGGACCCACTTTTGAAGCGCAGCAATTATATGACACAAACTGGATTGTCGTACATTGCACAACGCCTTCTAATTTTTGTCATCTTTTGAGACGACAAGTAGCGTTACCTTTCAGGTATCGTCCTTTGAACTGTAATGTTATTCGTTATTCCTGGTGCAGATTCTGAAATGACTTACATGAACTTTTTTAGAAAGCCACTAATTATAATGTCACCCAAATCGCTTCTGCGTCATCCATTAGCACGTTCTACCATTGAAGATTTCCTGCCTGGTACGAAATTCTGCAGAGTTATTCCAGAAAGCGGAAGTGCTGGTCAAAATCCAGAAAAGGTGGAACGCTTGGTTTTCTGCACCGGTATAATTTTATTGATTGTTTTCTCTTCACTTTTTCTTTTTCTTTCGAGAACTTCCATTACTCGATCTTTCTGGCTTTACTGCTGTGATACAGTCATCTTGTATGTTTCAGGTAAAGTTTACTACGACTTGGTATCTGCAAGGAACCACCTAAACCTAGATTCACGGGTAGCGATATGTCGTGTTGAGCAAATCTCTCCCTTTCCATACGACTTAATCGAGGAGGAGTGCCTTAAGTATGGCAAAGCAGAACTTATTTGGGCACAAGAGGAACACAAAAATATGGGCGCATGGGGATTCGTCCATCCAAGACTTGGAACACTTGTAGCAAAGTTCGTTAATTTTTCTGAACTTACGAGAAGTAACGACCAAATACTTCTCAAATATTTTTACATCTCGGCCTAATTCCGGAAATAGTCATTTCTTAACAAATACCAATATTTTACTCTCCCCAGGAGCTCTGCTGTATCGACCATTCATATGAATTTCGGAAATTTTAGACAAGGAAGACTACTCAAGTATGCAGGTCGAAAGCCATCGGCAGCAGCAGCAACAGGTAATAAATACAGTCACTACGTCGAGTTGAAAAGTTTATTGGCAGACGCTCTGCACGCTCGAAAAGCTGATATCGACAAATTCATTGGTGGATAATTGGGTTGGGTTTTTGCGGATGGTCCGAGTTACTGGTCAGACTCTAATTTATTGCTTTATTTTCCTCGGTAATATTAGCTGCAGAAAGCACGAGCTACTCGTATTTGCGATCAGATTATATATAACTTAGTTGATCAGTGAACTCAGGTAATTGATGGTATTCATTTGAAAATATCCGTCAGTTGTAATAAAAAAAAAACGTAATGCACATGAATTGTTTGCCTTGATCTTTAAAAACGAAATTTTAGTAATGAAACTATTTTCCAATTCCTTTGCTGATATTTTTAGCGGAAGAAGGTAAATGAAAATTAGTTTTCACTGGTGCTTAATGAGTTTTTAGGACGGAGAAGGTTAGAGGTGAATAAGAGATGACAAAATGAATTTTTAAATGTCCACCACATGAGAGTTATTGTTGTACAGATAGTATTCTGCCTTATTTTAATTCCAATAGAGTCAGTTGTTAGTGGCTGTTTTAAGAAATGCACAAAGATGAGTTTGTTTCCTATTCTGGAAAATGGGATATGCGATAGGCTGGTAATGATCCGTAAAGGACTAGAAGGATTTTGTTGTTTCAGCAAACAATGTTCAAAAATGGTAATATCTATTTGATCATAGCGATAATTATTCTTTGTGAATGTCCATATAACGTACATTTTTAACACATAACTGAGTGTCAAAGTCTGTAATATCAGAGATAAGCAACTACATCACAAATATCAAACAAAGTCTGCTATGTATTTAACACTATATTTCCCTTGATTTTCCAAGAGATGTATTCGAACAGCGGTGGAGAACTATTCCTGTCATATTCAGAGCAGTAACCATTTATCATGTCATACAGCTGTCCTACAAAAGTCTTTTCCAACACTTTTTAATGTAACTCTGCGCTATGACACAACCTGGTCGCGTTAATGCGATGGGCAAGAAGCAACAATCAGGCAGTGTTGAAGTTCGGTGGCAAATACTTTCAAAAGTTCCAAACACAGTCCCCTGGTCTGGAAACTTGACTGGTAATAAATTAAAGTGAATGAGTGGTTTAACAGCTGGAGCAAAAGGAAATAGCTTAGAGAAACCGACATGCCTGGTCAAAATGCGATGCATTACTATCAAAGGAAACAAGCTGCACTAAGTAACTGAATGTATTCTGGCGGTTTCCCATGACAGTTTTAAGTGGAACATACCAACTGTAGTACCAGTTTGCACCAGTATCCCGTAAATTTCAGTGAAGTCCTCCGCAAATTTCTGATTGCCGAATGTGAAATAATAAAGACATCGTTTCCGTGCGGACGATGCCATAAGTTGTATCAAACCTAAATATTCATTAAACTGATTGCTCAAATGATACATAGCACTAACAAATATTTTAGACAGATCAGTTATAGTAAAGGAACAAAAAATTACTTTTCAAGTGCAAGTCACCTCCAAATACACCACAACCCCAATTTCCAGTAGCAACCGGCTTCATCGTTCCATCATTTACAGCAAAGCCAACGTAAGCCTAAAGACACCATTTCCATCACTCCTTACAGAAACAGGAAGGAAGGAAATCAACTACATAATTTAATGTTTATACCTTGAGTAATTCGCGATCTACTAACTCGACACTAAACTGTTCATGTTTATTTGAAAATGGGAGAGCATCAATCGCTACCAACTCACAACATAACCTATGGAAGCGATCCCTGAAAATAAAATCCGTGTAGTATCTAAATCAGAAACATTTCATAAATAAAATCCGTGTAGCATCTAAATCAGAAACATTTCATCACTGAGTAATAGGGACTTTCTTGCAGCGGAACGTTTGTAACCACTATTTCCCTCAAAAAAAAACTTATAACGTCCATTATTAAACTTCGTTTATCCACAGTTAGAGTAGTAACAAAGATTACAAAACTTTCTGATATTTTTAAACAACCAATAAGGCAGAATGAGAAAAAAAACAAAGAAAAAAAAAAGGAAAACCTCGGAAATGAATCCATTTTCTCCATCGGACGCCAACGAAACGATGAACCATAGCCATCATAACCAGAAAACCGTTCTGCACCACAAATAACGATAGCTTCGTTGTGGTGCATCTTTTCGCAGAGAATCATCGAAACAATCATTTCCGGGCAAATAAGAAATCTGATTTCCTCCTACAAAATGATATTTTCAAACAAGCTTAGCTTATCTTACGTTGAACAAAACTGCAATCTTGACATTGGATCGTTGTTCTACAACTTACCTGAACACAGCCACCGCTCAATACGCCTCCTCCAATATATTCATTAGCAAAATCTACTTGTAACATGCCATGACCATCGTCTTCTATTGTACCTGTATGACTAACATAAAGCTTCGATAAAGGCAAATGCATGGAAGACCACTCCTGCGCCGAGTCATTCTGTCGGCGGATCGTCAATAGTCCTGTCGGCACTGTAAACAACTTATGCAAAGTTTCTCTCTGCAATTAAGCACCAACCTACAACTTTTTCCAACTTGAAACACAGTGTTTTCTACAGTCTTAAAATTAAGAATTTTTCGCAAAAAAGTGAGGAAAATAAGTTACTTTTCTTGGAAACCATATGAAAATAATGCATTAGGCATCGTAGTTTTTCTACCGCATTTGCAGAATGCAAACTGAACAAACGCCAGAAATTAATTGGTGGTAATTCATTACTGACAGTGTTACGACTTGGAAAAGTGCAAAAGAATGCGTGTGCAAGCAGTGAGGCTGCTTGATGCTGGCTTATCGTTACCGACCCAGAACTTCCACGTCGCAATATCGGTATTGGCTGGAACAGAGAAGATACTATGCAAACCATAAAACATTTGCTTAATTTATATGCCTTCCTTACCAAATACTTTTTTCGTCATTTTTTATGTTAACTAACCTACCATTGCTGTGGATAAACATACAAAAAAACTGTTCTTGAGAGTGAAATGAGGATCTGCTGATTGTATTACTTCTCGTTACAAGGACAAATTTTCCAGAATATATAACACAGCATATTAAAATACTACAAATGATATATGTATACTACAAATACGAAAAAGCTAGTGTTAGAATACCATACAACTTACAACTAATACAACCTTTATAAAACAGTAGTAGCCTACTTAAATGAATTACTTGAGTTATCAGACTTGGACTCTGTAAAGCCAATTTTGCCATGAAAGGTATCACGGTGGTAAGATATTCCACGCGTAATGCTTCACTCAGAACTGCTTCAAAAAGCTGTCGAAGCGCATTGAAACTCCTGGCACGTGAATAGCTTCTGATACAGTCCTATTCAAAAAAAAAAATAATTTTAAACGATCACTGTTGTCCAAACACACACATTGGGAAAACAAATTTATAATCGGAACCTCAATTTGCTTATAGGTCTTAAGCGGTTCCAAAAGTTTTGAAATTGCAGTCTGTATAATGTCGTATCGTGCAATTCCACCAGTCACGTTACATATAGAATATGGTAAACGAACAAATCTGAAATCGAACAAATGACAATGGAGTTGAAAATATCGATTAAAAACGCCAGAATTTTCGAATCAGCAGCAATCATCCCAGTGCTACAAGTAAGATTGTATTCTTTAGTAAATAAAGATTACTTTTTCCCGGAATTCCACCCATATGTTCGGTCAGCGCAGACCACGGGATACGGTTTAAAAGTTCCAGAAGTTATCGAATTTATGGATACTAATACCACATCAGAAGCATTTCTGCTGATCAAATCAGGGTACATATCCTTGTAACAGCGTATCGATTGCATTGGCGACTGCAAATTTTTCTTTCACAAGTAAATTTGATATCTGCACTTCTCATACAGTTAACGATATGCAAACATTTATTTTACAAATATGTAAACATATATTCTATTTACTACTATCTTTTTTACTTGAACAGCCATGCGTGGAATGTGGACCAACTTCAATATATTTATCCAGAGTGGTCTTTTCAGCTTTCATCTTTGCCTGCAAATAAACACTTCCCTCACTTTTGTAAGAGCCTAATTCAGAAAAGAAAAAGCATAGAATGATGCTCTCGAATTGATTCTCAAATTTTCTTTATTAGAAAATGAAAATATATGCGAAAATAGAAATACAATATGATGGAATTAAACCTTACATACATCTTGAAGTAAATTTAATGCGGGTCCAACATAAGGAAAAAATGATAGGAAAGAAACTTAACTTACTGAGAATAAAGAAAAAAACCCACTTTTTTCATGACGCCAGTCATCCTCATCCAGTCGTAGCGACCTTGTTCGTCACTTCCACCACGATCCACTTCTTCAACAACTGATCCGAAAGATTTCCTCGACTTCAATTTACTTCTTGAAATAACTGAAGTCTACCATTCAGTTATTAATTTACTAAGATATCGACCATTGTGACAGTGCACTTTACCCGGTCAGTATAATTCACTCAGTCTAGCGCAATATTTCCCATGACCGTGTTACAAACAAATGTCAGATATGACCTTAAATTAATGGGAGATATTCTCGGTAACGCGTATAATTATCGATTGCTTTTATCAACTACAGTGTTAATGATATAACCGTCTACCTGAATGGGTAATCGTTATTGACATCCGATTACTCTTCGTCTTTTCACGAATCAGTTTACCACTGACAAATGCCCTCCGGTCCAGCCCACCTAACAGAAAGGCATCTAATGTTGTCTGTCGCTCTAATACAGCTCTCCTGCGTAATGAACCACCGACATGCGTATTATTCTCTTCAACAACACAATCTTCTATTTCAGTACGTTCATCATTCATTGGTTCGTTATCCTGGAAATGACTGCCGGAGACGACAAGGTCAAGGTTGTGGAATTGTGGATCTCGCCCTTACGTGTATGTTTATTGTACGTAAGAACATAGTTTAGTCCATCACATGTCATGACCCGCCGGTGTCGCAGTATTCATTCCATCGTGACATTGATGATGCCATATGAAAATTCTGGTCTAAAAGCGGATTTCGAAAGTTTGGATCCCCACGCAAGAAACTTGACCACATATTTACAGAAAATTTTGCCATAAAACAATATGTATTGCATTTGATGAGCCATCATTGGCCCGTCAAATGAAACCTCATGATAGATTTCGAAACTTTTCCTTTCCAAGCTTCAAACAAGGTTACTTTGTATTGGATGGTAGCATGCTTCATCACATATGAATGGAGTTAATTTGGTATGACGCATTTCAATCCGATTAATTAACAGATTCCAATATTAACAAATACTATGCACAGCCACTATGTTGATTTATTGTTGTCAGAGTACCGTCTTCCTAAACCTGCTGCTGTTCATCTGTTCTTTTTTTACTCCTCAACAAAATAAGAAAGCTACTGTACATAATCAATATTAAGCATATCAATTTTGAGTATGTGCCAGTAATTTCTGGTATGAAATCCAGATAGTCGAGGTGCAGGATGTCCACTCTTTCTGAAGTCAAGTTTTGAGAATTATTCTGTATCCACTAGTTACTGGCTGCGACAGTCAATTACTGCTGGATATGTTCTTACAGGCTCAAACTAAAAAACGCCCCTCGAGACCATGAAGTCCTGGATTTTAAATTGCATTAGTGTTCGGATGGGATTATAGTGGGTTAATGCACAAAATACGCAGAAGTATTCTCATGCCGATTTTTGTATCACTGGTATGATGTCGCACAGGAAAAAATGCTTGGTTCAATTTTCCACATAAATGACGTTTGGTGTTTAGAGATGTTTAATTCCGTATTGGTGTTTGGAGATTTTCCTTGCACACTAAATTACTCTATTTGGCCAGCAACACTCTGGCCACTCGATTAGTTAAGATTTAATCATCAGTTGTAAAAAATTACAGCAATTTCGTTTTGTTAATAGGTTCAATTTCGTTAATAATGCAGGAAAGTTGCTTTGGCAGAGAAAAAAAAGGAAACCTACAAAAAATAATTTAGTTATATAGTTGATCAAGACAACTAATATATCTGTCTGTTGCTTACACTTCCGAATTCTTTTTCAATTTCAATCCCTTTTATATTATAACATATCAAAGGATACAGTATGTTCTTTGAATTATTTCACATTTGAAATTATCGAACTTCCTGGAGTGAAATAAAAATTAGAGGCATAATAGACAATGTTTCTAGTATTTGACTTTTCGAAATTTTCAAGAAATTTCCTCCTTTAATCTTCCCTTTTATATTATACAGACTGAAAAGGTAAGCTGAGATCGATTGTCCTGGCGGAAATGGGAATAAGCAGATTTCATGGTGTCCTTTTCATTTCAAAGATATCTTTTTTTACACAGAGTATTCGCAATTTTGATAGCAGTACTTTTATATTTTACCTCCTCCGAAGATTAAATTTAAGTGTATATGAAGCTGTGAAGTATAAAAATTTCTCCTTTAATTTTTTGGAATTGACATATGCCTTTAGTAATTATGATTTATCAATAGCTTTTTTACGTCCGAACCTCTCAAAAAAGTGTCCTTAGACTTCGACGTTTCTGTAATAGCAATATATCCAATTCTCAACCGAATAGATCAGTCCAAAAATCGAATTGACATTAGCTGCTCCACATTTATACCTCCCATTGCCTGAAGCTGATAAATGATATATATGTTGTTTTTCCTCCTGAAAACCGGAGTTGGATTATTTGTCATCCTTTCCCCTTTCGGGAGGTAAAGAAACTACCACTTTAGAAAGATGGAAAAATTTCACTTACTCGAACGAATTCTTCAAATGATATTTTACCATTCTTTTCGTAATCACCTTCAGTAATTGTTCGACTTGTGATAGATTCAAGCTAAAAAATTGAGCAAGTAGAACGTTGAATACTAAATAAAGTTTAGGACAAAACATTTTTATTTGAACTATCCGATATTTTGAATGGTTTTTCTTCACGATGATATTTGAAGATTTATTGGATAAGGACCTGTTCGGACGTTATGTTTGAACCAATCATCATATTCAGGATCACTTTGAACTCATTCCTCGTGATATAACCATTTTTGTTTAAATCATACATAGTAAATGCAACTAAAATTCAATTGCAATCGAAAATTAAACGAATCTTTCACAGAAATGTACTTTAAATTTTAAAGCTTGACAGTGAGCGTATTTTAAAATTTGAAAGTGAATACATTTTAACTTTTCGATACGACTGTTAATTGCAGTACATTTAGTTGCCGAAGTGCATGGCCTAAAGTGCGCCAATACACGAATAAATTCACGGAATGTTAGCGTCTTTTTCGAATGCTCTCTAAAATTAACTATAGAGTGCAAGGTAAAAAAGGTTGAAACAATGTTGAAAGAGGACTTAAACTTTGAACTCAGTTATTATTTACTAATTATGTTTTATTGCTGTGGCTTCCGACAATTCCCAACTATATACATTTGATTGAAGTTAACCTTGGATAGTACTGAAAAATGATGAGACATATTTTCGGATGTTTTAATGAAGCAAAGAAGGCATTGCTTCATGGAGACAAAGAAAAAAGATTCTCATGTGATCAAATCATACTGGTGAAATATTGATTGAATTTCACTCAGATTTTGGATAATTTAAGCAAGGATTAGATTGAAGGGTGAAAAAAAAAAATGAATTGATAAGAAAATTTAATTACCCATGCTAGCAGTATTAGAAAATATATTTACATAATGTTGTAAAATTTCAAAACTTACCTTTCGGCAAAGAACGCATCAATAATTCTATCACCCAGAGGATTTGCAGTAAGGTATGGGATTGTGATGAAGTTATCACGGTCAACGTAGCCTCTTCCTACAGTTTTTGATATTTTTTTTTGTCAAAAATGCTGGGATATTTTTTTCTACGAAAATCAAAATATTTTAGTGTTCTGTGGTAAACAGGGCTGTGAAAATGCTGTTGAGAAGTGTGATTTTTTCATATCTATATGTCATAAACGCTTTAGTGAAGATTTGCAGTAAGGTCTGGGAGTTTAATTGAGCGATTGACTGATCAAGGACTGTCCCGTTATTTGCTTACTGTCAAGTGACAAAAAAGAATCCAACCTGTCCAATTAATGAGAAAATTAAACATCATGAGAGTGTAAATGCAATGGCATAAATTCCTTTGGATGATCCGAACAAATCATATTGAAAGAAGCAACCTTTCGATTCTACGGATGAGTCGAATTCATGCATTTCAAATGAAATTCTAAAAAAAAAAAAAAAAAGAAAAAACTCCCGGAAATAATGCTAGTATAAAACTGTAAAATTATGGAATTAACCATGTTTGTCAAGCGACAAAAATCTGGCATGTAGTCGAAGTATTTGACGTCGTTTAACTGCAAAGTAATTTTTACAAGTAAAAATCAAATGATAAAATAAAAGTACATTTATTCAAATAGCAGAGAAATTATATAGTAATGAATATCTCGTTATTGCTTGAATATTTGAGCAATTCTTTATGAACACTTATTTTCGAGTATGTAGGAAATCCATGTGGAAGAATTACTGGTGTTGGGATATATTCGATAGGATTGCAGATTAAAATTAAATTTGGTTCAAGTTGAAAGCAAATATTATTAGTTGCAGTATTAACTTCCTAATATGACTGATCATAGTATGAGGAATTAAGGTTTACTTTATATTACGATATTTCATTTTCATCGCATCGATTTCCAGACAAGATTTTTTGTTTTGTACCCACAGTAATGGATGAGGAACTTTCGTTCTTTTCTTTGTTTAATGCAACGGATTGAGCAAGAAATTCTTCATCCAAAAAAAGTGGAATATGCACAATCCAAGATAATTATAGTGAGGATAATCCCAAGAAATGACAAAATATTGATTAAAGGGAACTAATTACTTTACTGAAACCAATTCCGAGAGATAAGAAAAAACCGGAACTGCCTAAACTGAATTTGACTCAAATTTGTAAATAGAAAATAATAATTGCAATCAACATTACAAGGGGATGTTCCCATTATCTAAGATAAATTTATTGAAATTCTTTTGGAAAAAAATTTTGAAATCCCACTGAAATTAAAAAATGAGAAACAAACATCCTGTCTCGCGCTGAATATCTGTAAGTTCTTGTTCCGACAAACCATGCGTTAATGAAAGGCAATTACCCATTAATAATATAAAAACAAATTGTTTGCTTGGAATTACTCGCCAGGAAGACTAATTTGGCGTGTCGCTGCAGTACGGCAAACTCTGAAAGATATGAAATACTAACAAAACTAACTCATTAATATAAGTGAAGAAATACTTATACCTTGCGGTAGGACTACAAGATTAAAAAAGTTAACTATTACATATAGTGAAAGTAGTACATAAAATTGAAAGGTACGTTGAAAAGTTACCCTTTCGTTAATAATTACAGCACACCGACTCTTCCAGTCTTACATTCAACTTCATACAGTTAAACATTGCTTATCCTTCTAAAAAGTTATCTGGTCAAAATTGAGAAGTCATGTCAGTAACTACTTAGTAGACTAGAGTCTCGTTTATTATAGGAATGAACCAGTCAAATCCCTCCACCAACTAAGAACGGCCTTGCATCACCAACCATAGAATAATGAAAGAGCTCTCAATCTGTCAATCCACACTGTGTCCACAATCCAGAACGATACATGACTGTTTTGAATGTCCGGAATTGATCTCTGAAGAAATTCAAATTTCATGTTTCACTGCACTGCAAAGTAACAATATATTAGGTAAGGGGAATGACTTGATAGTCCACTTTACAAGTTTCTTACAGAAAGTCCACTTCTAGTCAAGCTAAAAATGTTAATATTAGGCTGACGATAGGTCAAATAATTTTAGTGAAGTGGTCTACAATATACATGGAAATCAATCATGAAATGGAACAGGGAAAATGCAAAGTATTATCTTCCCATTAAAGTAGTGATAAAACGTAGCCAGCTACAAATGATAAGTTATCACTAATATGCATTATCCCAATGTTTTGTGCAACAGTACCATTTATGTAACTAAGTTGATTCATACCTACAATATCTGAATGCTATGTATTTCTTTCCTTGTATTAGAAATGTTTCAACATTAGACATCCGCATCAGTAAAAGCCAATATACTAGCAGTAATTTAGACAATTAAACCTGATAATTAAAGCTGATGTTCAACATCGAAATGTCTTCTAAAACATGGGAATGTCTCTTCATCGTTCTCAAGATGATAACCTTTTCAAAGGAAATATTCAAAAACTAACAAGAACTCAAGGAATTAAATTTACAAGCTGTTTCCATTTCGGATATCCCTAACATTACACTCCGCAAATTATCGGCAATTTATTTTGCTTCGATTCTGATTGTGAAAGTGAAAAATATAAAGAGTAATGAGCGAATGGTCGACATAATTTTCTCCTTATAAACGTATGCTCTTATCACTCATTCGCCCAGCCCAGGTATTGCTTATGACTCATCGCTTTTGTCACTCAATCGGATCACAATATTTTCAAGCAAAGGTATTCTCTTTCATTCGAGTGATATTTCCCAATCAATTTTCGTTTTTCTTGCTTTTAAATGGAAGAGGAACAAAGTGATCGAACAAAATTTGCACCAGTGATCACCGACAACTTGTCCAACGAATAGGTTAGAGATATTGTTTTGATATAAGTTCGGGAGTTCCAGGTTTCAGATTCTTCCAAGCATAGTTAAGAACCTTGAATTCCGAAAAGTTCACGTTCAGCCATCTCTAGTATGGGATAAAATCGAGATCACTCGGAGAGGAAATACGTCAAACGACTATAGCCTAGAATAAAAATCATATTTTGACCTTTCATTGCTGCTGGGACTTCGCTTTTCGTTGTGAGCACGAATGAAGTTGAGTGGCGGTGAGTGAGACCGCGGTGAAAGGATGCAAGGGGTTTGCGATTGAAAGGGGTACTCTCGATTGTTTTGGTTTATCATTTCGCATTTGCTGTTTGTTGTATTTCCTGGTTAATGTGTATTTGCCGTCTAGTCGTATTTGTTCAGCAAGTAAGTACTGGCGGGAATATGGATTTATTCGGGACATAATATTGTTCCTGCACAATATTACTACTTAACAACAGAAGTGTGAAAGATATATGTATACATTACGCGGTGAATTGGTAAGCAAGGATAAATGAGTTATACAAAAAGCAAGTAATATGATCAACTAACAAATTCCTTGTTGCCTTCGATAATAATTTAACTGTCGGTTAGTTGATAGGTTGCGTGATGGTTGATACAAGAATTCATTCTTCGTTGCGCTGGGGATATGTTGCAGGGAACATTTTTAGCGAAAAGAGGGAACACTGTAGTGTGTTGTTCAGTGGTGGCAGATATGCGAAGAGGATGTCGTAGAGTTTGCTCGATTGTAAAAAACCGAACTTTCGGATTTCTTATATATATGCACACATACATGTCTATATATAAGGATTGGGGAGGAGTCTTGTAAGCTCCATCGGGACTATCACGGACATATGGCTACCCTCTGGCGTTGTCCATTGTGTAGGTACAATGATATCATTGTCCATGGTGTAGATACTATGACGTTTTTATGTTATGCGGTACATTGTCAGCTTATATTCTCTTCGCTGCTTTAATTTCACTTACAAGATTTCATCGTCCTGTCTGTCAGATATTTTAGAAATCTTATTTGAACATAGCTTTGATTTCGGTAATCTAACAAGTACTAAATGAAAAATTCCTTCAACGTTTGTCATTTAATTTTAGAGTGGTTTAATATTTATTTGTCAGAAAATGCTGTTGCCTCGAACAGTGAGGCTTAACTTTGGCCGTTGTTATGCAGCAGGTGCAGAATTCCTGAAAAATGTTCCCTTGACGAGACGAGATGGCGAAAAAGTCAAAGTGGATGAGTTGAAGAATAAGGTTTGTAATTTTATCTTTGACAAGACTTTGTCCTAACTGGGATAGCAGCACCCAGATTGTGTATGATGTTGTGTAACATGTTTCTAGAAAAGTTTAAGGAAACCGAACAGACTGACGCCCTATAATTTTATTAGATTCCAGGCCATTATATTGTATTTCTCATCTGGATGGTGTGGTCACTGCCGCACGTTCACACCCAAGTTGAAAGTAAGTCTTTCCTTCCGCATTCTTGTTTCACAGTACTTTTGAAATCCATACACACAGTATTTCTTTGTTTTGCACCGGTCAGTGTCCAAAAGTTTGTGGAGTACACAAATGAAAATCGAATCCTAGAAAACGAAGGACTTACTTTCTTCGAAGAAGTGTTGAGAAGTTCGATGCTTTGTGCTGCAACCAAGAGCGGCGGATTCGTGGAACATCTTATTAGTTAGTGAAATATTCAGAATAATAATGCGAAACGAAGTAGCAGAGAGAAATAATACGTCGATGAATGCAAATCAATGAAGCGATGAATGAAAGCGCGGATATCTAGAGTAGACGAAGTGGTGAGTCGACTGACGGAAGCAGAATAACAATAATGATGACAATAATAATACGGACTGAAGATATGAGCCTTATATAGCAGACAGATGGGCAGGATTACAATGTCTGGAAAGGACACACATATATATATACAACGACAACAAGGGGGATTTACAACACAATTCCCAGACATTAACGTAATATGCAATGCCCTGTCACAATAAGCCGTTTGTCTATTACCCTATATAGACGGCTAACAGGGATAAGCAAAAGGAAAATTTATATGCTACAAATCAATATAAATCACCGTCAAGTTGGAGAAAGCTGTTTCGGGTTTCCCGACGGTCAGTGCTTGAAATATTTTAGGACTTTACTTTTCTGTCTGTGTGCGGTAATTACATTTTCTAGAAATGGTATGACGAAGCTGCAAAAGACGAAAATATTGAAATAGTTTGGGTTTCCCGTGATCGTGAGGCGAAACACCAGATAGATTACTATAACAAAGCACTTCCGAATGTGCCCTATATCCCATTTGGTGACAAACATATTTCGTAAGTCTCGCTTACTTTTTCCGTACTCCTAATAGTTGGAAGTTGTGAGAGATAACATTAAAATTATGCGTAGAATTGCCTATTTCACTGATTACCGGACCAGATTTTCACTGTTTAACGTTTACTGCACCAGTACTTTTCTGGCAATTTTTGTCATGACTTATTTGTTTTGTTCATATAATTACGCAAAATGCTGAGCCAGTGAGATTTATGCGGTAACTATGATGATATGTGCATTGAGGAATCATGCACGAATGGCAGTAAATTATCCGCAACTTTATTTTTACTGCAGAGAATTCCTGAAGAAATATGGTGTGGAAACGATACCCGCTGTTAGGCTAGTAAATAGCAGTGGGGAAGTAATCGACCACGAAGTTAAAAGTAAAATCCAGGTACGTTATTACCTTCCTTAATTTCTGTCAGATAAATGAGCTAAGTTTTTCTCTGATTGGAGGATATAGCATCATCTTATAAGACGAATTTTTATATCAGGATGAAGGTCAAGTGGACGCCAGAAAGCTAGCGAAGGAATTTCGAAGCCGCGTATAACCGGTGCAGTAATTGCACTTCATTGTTAGGCATTTTCTTAGTTTATATTAGACATCTTTTATTCGTTATATCACTTTGCTTTCGTCTATGTATTTAAGTTGTTTTCTACCCAGTGTACGGTATGTGCGCATAGTTAAAGACCATTTGTGATGCATATATTGCACATATTTACTTTGGTCGGTGATGTACTACTAATGCTATAGTAATTCATAACTTTGCTGGAAAATGCTCTGTTCGGAATGCTTTCCCTGCGTGTCTTCATTTTCTACAGAATATTTAGGTGTGACCTCATCTTGAGTTCAATCGATTTTTTTTTTTTGGATAATGTTCAAAGGATTACGGGTTCATATTGGGTCACCGTTCATTGCAATGTAATGTAGTGAAGAACGGCTTCGGCTGGTGATTTTGATAGTTCATTATGTCGACATCTTTATGCAAAATCGCAGTGAGTCTTCCAGAATTCTTTCCATTAATAATTTGTTAGAAAAAGGACATTTACTGCTTCAGTTCAGAGTAATACATCATCTAATTGAGACCTATTAGTAAGATATTAAATTCTTCAATTGTACTTTGCAGTAAATCACTCTTTTGAAACGAATTCCATTTTCCCTATTTCATTTGTTCATGTTTTTTGAATTGGAAAGATAGCTTTCGAGCACCGCTACAGCGTCTGGTCGACCCATTATTCGGACAGTTTGCAGAAAATCCAGTACTGCCCGTTGTGAGCCGAATTCTACAGTTTCCCATAGGTCCAGAATTAGTGATGTTGGTGAAAGACCAGGTCGGGTTGCAAAATACTGAAATATTACTGCAATTATTTCCATAGTTTTAGTGGATTACTGTGAATTCTGGTGCTGCAAATTGAAAGTTGGATTAGTCTGTAGCTCAGTACATTACTTCCACAACTCTAACATTCTGAAAACAAAATTGGTGGAGGCAGTCCATTATCCTTTTAAAACGGAGGTTGAGTAAATATATCATTACCTGTATATACCTATGGAGATTTAATTTCTTAGCTAGCCCTCGCCAGTCCTTTGTCGGATCAGTGGGAACATCGAAGAGCTCCGCCAGTTTTCGTCTTGTTGCATAATCCAATAAAAAACCATATGAAAGTACTCCATCTTCTTCCATTTCACCATCTTCCTGAAATAGGCCACGCTATTCCGATATGTTTTAGACCGATAAGTTGGTTTTTGGATGAGAATAATGAATTCAGATAATCTTGCACTTTGCAGGAGCTTTTTCATAGTTATGCTTCACGGATTTTCGTCTTACTTACAATTGGTTGTTGCATATCGAAATGTAGCACTTCTCTCGCATCGGCATTACCCTTTTGGTAGATGACAATTCGACCAGTAATTGTTTCTAGCAAATCTTCGGGGACATCAGTTTTCAGACTGCAGTGCAAACCGTTTTGCACACACCATAGATGATGGCTAGACGGTATCTCCTGTAACGTATTTATCACATTCTTTCGAGAACTTTGGATTTGTGTGAAATTTATGCTTTTTTTGTAAGATTTTAAAGTGGAGTGAAGTTCAGTAACATCCAATAATCAACACACCAAATATTGTGCTTCGGGTTTTTTGACAAGTCCTGTTGACACTTCCTCAAGACACACACATAAGGCACCCTTCTCACGCATCAGGAAATTCTCGGATTCAGCCAGCAAAGCACCGGTATTTTCTTCTTGACACAGGACATTCTGAATGGCGATCCCAGTTTCGGGTACGCAGTACACTCTAATGGAAGTATCATTGGAAATACGATGCAAGGGGCCGAACGCAGCTAAGTGCATCCGTTTCATCGTTGCTATCGTCGGTCGACGTGGTTTACCGACCAACAGTAACTTGCAGAAGCGCTCTATCATTATATGGCACCTGCAAAAGAAAATGAGGCTTAAAAAGGTTGGATTTCTACTATTAAATTCATGGTTGTCGGTGGTGCCGGTTACTAGGATTATCTGGTTGTCCCTACCCGGATATTAACTCTTATTTGCCAATAAAGTAAGTGGCACCTTGTCAAATCCATTTGACAGTAGAGAGGTGTATTTATATCTTCATCACCAATTTGTGCTACCATTTCCCAGTTGTTGTTTTGATTGCCTTTTGCGTAAATCATGAAAGTCCAGTTATCTTTCGGAAAAATATTGGCACAGTGTTTAAATGTCACGATAAATGGCCTATGTATGACGACATCATTTTCATTCTCATCGCATAGGCCTGTCATCACCACAGCACTTAGCACCGTGTTACCTTCTGAAAGTGATTCAAAAGGTTGAAATGTGAATTTCAAAGAAATTTTATTTTGGTGATTTTTAACAAGTATTTATACATGGATTACATGGAATGAGAAAAAAGCTGGATCTACCCAGTAATTTGGGTGAATCGTTGAGATCATCGGAGACAGCAAGGAATACCATATGATTCGTTTGGAATGCACCCTCTGGTATTAGCAGAGCAGCACCACTTCGTTTGAGCTGAGAAAAAAGAAGTTCATCAATCATTTCTTTGTCGTCTTAAATTTTCGGAATTTAATTCTTTACTAGTTCGCATATATTCAGTTACTCTTCTCTCTATAATGAACTTAAATCTATAACAAATCTTATTTTCAGAAAAAAAGTCCACTTTAGAATATGGTCTAATTTTAAGGTTATGTAAAAATTGCACATAGGAAATAAAACTACTTCTTTCGTGGTGATAAAATCACTAAACATTCAATTATTCTGGAAAGGAAAAAGTACCAGTAATCTTCCTCCCATGCTATCCACATAAGCAGGAAGGACAATGTGAGGCTGTTTGCTAAGCTCGAAAGACCCGTACTGATCATTGACATCACCTACACAATCATACAGTGTTGCATAATTTTCGTCCGAAGTCCGTGAATTCGTTCGCGCTATTGTAATTTTACCATTCGATGAATTTGACGATGATTCCGTAATTAATGCCACACGTGATCCTCCAATTATAAAGACATGATATTTTAAAAGAAAAAAAGGATTTCCTCTCTAAAATTTCATCATTAAGCTTAATGAAAAAGAAAATAATCTTTGACCCGACCAGAAAGCAATTCCAACCTGTAATTTTTCTTGTCGACGAATAGCCACTGCTATTAGCCGATCTAAGCGTTAATGATGGCGGTCTCACAAGAGGATGAGTTGGTGAAGCAGTCGTTGTCAAAGTGTAAAATTCGCTACCACCTTTTGTTACTGATTTAAGGGAATCATTTGGATCACCAAGTAATCGTTGTTGTTGTTGCAATAATACGGTACGTACATGTCCTGAAATTGTATCTTAAAATTTCTATTCAAAATTGATAATTATTTAGGATTTAGAGATCAATCACAATATGCAATAAATGCAAATCAATAAATGCAAATCTTTCGACCAACTTCAATGATTGAGAGATATTGTTAACCATAATAAGTAATATTAAACAACAATTAATCAATAGATTAATTAAGTAAAGTAAACTAGCCATTGTTCTCAGCGAAATAAAAGCCATCCTTCTTTGCACCGCTACATCGTCGTCGACATCGATACAGTAATGCTGATATCAAAATAAGGATGATAAGCAAAAGAATGAGCATACTAAATATGCCAGCATACATTGCAATCTGCGCTTCTACGCTATATCCAATGTAGGTTGGTGCTGATCGTTGTGCTATTTCTGTACAATAACCTTCTCCCTGGGTACAATTCCTGGTATCCAAATCACGACCACTACATAACTGTCCACCACTAGTTGGTCTGGGTGAATTGCAGGAACGAGTACGAAATTTTTGGCAATTTTCGCTACATTGTGACCATGATGACCATCCTGACCTATAAAATACATGATGTTTGTTTCAAAAAACTGCATCAATTTAGTTAGTTTCATTTTTTTTTTCCTTCAGAAAAAAAGGTTTAAATTCTATCCATAGTTTTTTTTTACTTTAATACATTCCTCTTTCTTGCAAGATGACGATGAGAAAATCTCATAGGACCTGAATTTTTTCAATAATACATTTATTTTTCGAATTTTTAAAATACGAACCAGTGACCATCCAAATGGCAATCCAAAGGACATTCATTGGTTTGTTCCGGATCACCTAAGCAATCAGATCCACCGTTCATTGGTGCAGGATTATTACAAGTTCTCCTGCGTACCAATTTTGGCCAAATATCGTCAAGTTTGGTATGTACTGTACCGGAACGTCTCCTTGTTATTTCTTGCTTCAATTGCGTACAATCAACTTTACAATTACCATTCCATGCAGACCATTCTGCCCATTCACCATTTACTGGAATAATTTCTGATTAATTAATTACCAATAAAAAAGACAAAAACTGCTCTCGACAAATAGTTGCATTCTTAAAATATTGAACAAACCAATGAAGTTGAAAAATCCATGACAGTCTTGAAATTTATTTCAAACTTCATAATAACATGGTTACAAGAACCATCTATTAGTCTATTAATTCCAATATAAGGTAGGGTAAGCAAGTCAACGTGGGTTTGTTTATTAAAACAATAAAATTAAATTTTAATATTGCCGTTACGAAAAAAAAAAAGAAAAAAAAGTTTTCCGCACTTTATTCTTAGTGCAAAAGTTTAGCTTTTTAAGATAAGCACAATTCAAATGAAATTTCTATCGCAAAAACTTTTCAATATAAACTGTTTGATCGAAAGTTAGAAACAAAAAACAAAAAACGAGAGGAGTTGCAAGGATCGGCAAAACGTTACAGACGCCGATGGCGACTAATACGTACCGGAAAAGACGGTGTCGTATTGCCTTTCATCAACCATTAAAAGATCATTTTTTCTCGGTATTATAATTTTTATATAAATTTGCCGGTTACTGTTACGAGCTTTGTCCTTACTTTCTTGAACAATTGAAGGAAAAGGAAGTATAAGAGGAAAAAAAAAAAAACCCGGCGCCATACATGTGATTTATTTCTTATATATTTGCAATCAGTATATGTTGAACATGAGAATAGCTTTTTATTCAAGGTCAAAGGGTAAAGACATATGCAGAAGTATATTTGTTGAAATTTATTCAACAAATAGTTGATAATGAAAGAACATTATGGCAGGACCAATTATATTGTATAAACAAATATGACTAAGTCAAACTGAAATAAGGCATGGTGTAGAAGCCACTTTGGCATTAATGCAATTGCATTAGTATGTTCAAGTGAAGTGAAGAATTAAAATTCAATTCAATATTAAATAAGGAATAATATATTTCAGTTGGGTTGAGTTACGCGATATTATCTAATAAATATTTTGACTTAAAGGATATATAGCAGTGATAGGATCAAATGTGAATGGATTTCAAGTATTAGTTGAAATTTTAATAATTTACCCGATAATTAATTGTAAAACATATTCTTTGTTCAAGAAGTTTAGATTTTATATTTTAAGCTTTCATATATGGAAATTTATTTTTAATTTACTAATATTATTATTTATTATTATTATTATTATTGTTATTATTATTGTCATTATTATTATTATTATT